CCCCTTGCTCAGTAGGATATGCAAATTTAACAAATGAGAAAACCATCTAAATTTGGGGAGAAAATTTCTGTCTTATATTGTAGCACAAAAATCCTGACTAGTCAATAGAACATATATGCCAAGTTTTTCAAAGTTTTTTATGAGGATTCTTGAGGGGTATAATTTTATTTTATCTATTAAATACAGCTAGTTCAGGGAATTATATAAGGGAGTTGATGGATGTCTTGAGCAAATGTGTCTTTCATATAGGTATTAATGATAGTAAAACATTAACAAAATGATATGTACAATCTCCCAGTGTATTTTTCTGCAAATAAAGTAGCTTTAAAACAAACAAACAAACAAAAAATAGGTACTTAATCATGTAGAAGAAGACAATAAAGAAAAGTTCATAAAGAGACAGGGAAGATAAAATTTGGTGACAGAGAGACTCTAAAATTATATTCAGAGAGATTTTCAACATAAAAGCAGGAAGACGGTAAAATGTCAATTATAACCAAGTTCAAAAACTAACAATATACATAAGTATCATGAGATAGGTACTGAATGGGAAATGAGAATGAAGACGGGTTTCATTCATAGTAGTCACTGAACTTGGCATATCTTCTTTCTTGCTAAATTAGGAAGGTTTTATTTATTTATTTTTATGTGGTCCTGAGGATCAAACCCAGTGCCTCACACATGCTAGGCAAATGCTCTCCCACTGAGCCACAAACCTAGCCCTAAATTAGGAAGGTTTTAAACTAGTATTTTCCCAACTAGCAATCTTAGAACTAAAATTCTCCAAAATTCATGTAGAGAAGAATAAATTATCCTCTCTCCAAAAAGTGTGCCCCTCTTAAGGAGCCTCATTAGCATCTAAAGGCACTGAAAGGTCCCACAGCAAAGAAAACAGATCCCTTCTTCCAAATTTTTTGACCATGGAATCCAATTTTATGTAGCACCTTTTAAGATCTTCCAGGGACCTGTTTTTGTGAAATTTTCTCCTAGAAAATTAGATCAGGTCAATAGAAATAACAGATTTTTTGATGAGCTCAGTATGTTTGAAAATTGTATAGCAAATATATCATGATGCCCATTTATGCTTCCATTGAAGCAGGTGAACTTGTTTCCTTCAATGACTCTTCCAAAAACAAAATTCTACCATACCAAAATAGTTAGAAGTAGATTGGGCATGTAGGTGACTATTTAATTATTTTGAAATCTGAACTCATTCAGTCAATTACTTGTGAACTTGTACTGCTTAGGTAAAATGTATGTAAACATCTTAATTCATTTTTAATTATGCATATATTTTATTATACAAATATTGAGTGAATTATTTGCTTGAATGAATTATCTGCTTATGGTTTTTATTTTTCATTGACCTTCATGGTCTCTTGGTTTCTCCAAGTGTGTCTAAATGTACTACAAAGCTAAATTTGAATTATTTTTTATGTGATTCATTCTCTTTCTCCTTTCCATCGAGCATGGATAATCAAGAATTCATGGTATTATGGATTTTTAAATGTCAGATATTATAAAGCTGTCTTGCCTATTACAGTAAAAACTTCATTAAAGGCTATCATGTATTCAAAGTGGTGTGTAATTCAAAGCAGCTGCACATCCAATTCCTCCACATGTACTATTGTCCTTTAAATAAAAACAACAGATAAAGTACTCTTTAGTTTCAAGCCTCATTTCTAGGTGCTAGGCATTTCAAGGTAAGTATATTCTAATAAAATAATTATAGTTGCTTATCATTAAAAGATCTGATGCTTTCCTTGGTCCACATATTTTACAGAAACAGCTCCTATTGTGTGATGATCCTTTTATCATATACTATTTTTCCAAATTCTTATATTTTCACCTTGCATTTCAGAAACATGTCAAAAATCTTGATTCTTCATTTTTAAAGTTTTTGCTTCCTAGTAGAAAAGAATCTTTCTTTCCTCATTGAAGGAAAATATTCACTTGTGGATCTGGGTTACTTCAATATCATTCTCTTTTATTCATGAAATATGTGTGATTTTAAAAAAGACAATGCATAACCACTGAAATGTAGTCTTTTTGTACTTGTATGTCATCGAAAGTGATAGTTTCCTAATAAGAACATATGTGCTTTAATTGGTTTTCCTAAAGAGGTTACATTTATGACCAAAAAAATGAAATTAAGTTACTATGGGAATAAAGATAAAGAAAGTAACATAAATTATCTATCTTGAATGATCATGATAGAAAAAAACATCATGTAAAAGCCAAGAACAAACTTAAATCAAGATTAAAACAGGCGAATTTCATATCCTTCTGTCCTCCTTCAAGATGATGTGTTTTATCAGGCCAAACGTCTCTGCCATCAATAATTTTGTAAATCAACTTTTACAAAGGGAAAGATAAAACCTCTCTTTATGTAAACTCTTACACGTCACAAAAAAAGCTTATAAGTGCTCCAAACTTACGGTTTTGGCACACCAGCTGCCTTGAGTTGAGGGAGGAGAACAGGGGTTAGCAGAAAGTGTATTTAGGATGGATGCCACCCACCATCAAGTAATGGTTTAAGTAGAAAGTAATCAGAGGGAGACCACAGCAGCTAAATTTCAACCAAAGATATTCTAGGTTTAGAACAATAAATAATTTTAATCAGGTATGTTCCAAAGAGCAAATAGGTCTCTAAGGCTATAACTCAGCCTGAATAAGCACTTGGAAAGTCTGCCGGATCAGCAGCCACTCCGTGTACATAGCACACCACCTGACTTTCCATTAAAATCTGGAACATCTTTGGTACAGAGAAGCCCATATGTTGTGAAACACTTTGAACTGAAAAACATATCTAATTTATTAATGCAGACAGCATCTTTCACCCACATCAGAACACAGGTCACAAGGTGAAGGGTGTCATGAAAATGCTGATATGGATGAAGCCAGAGGGACACACATGAAAACCTTAGCACTTTTCTGGAGTCCTGCCTCATTACAGCCAGGACTGCCTTATAATAAAGTCTTTTCAGTGTGTTAGTAACTAAACACTCTTGGAAGGGGTCCAACATGAACCACCTCTCAAGGAGTCTCCAACCAGGTAACATGACACTTAAGCTTCCACAAAAACCAATGTCTACATTTGATGAATAAGTCATTAAGACAGTCTCTAGGATGCTAAAGGGATTACCTTCTTATCAGGGCACACAGCCTTGTATATATGCTTCAAGCTTCAATTCATCATTTCAAGGGAATGTCTGGCCTCTGCATCAGAGTTTATCATTTGATGCTAGAAGACCACAGTGGGGCTGATAAGGGACACTAAAATTATAATGTGCAGAATGAATTGAAGCCCCAAAGTATACTGTGCCTGAGTTATTCAAATCCTTACACATAGTTCACCCAGTCTACAACAACAACAACAAAACTATACAATGTGTGTGAATGAAACAAACTCAAATTCTACCTCCAAACTTGTGGTTTATACTAAAAATGAAACTTGTCAATACAAAAAAATAAATTGTTTGTCTCTCCAGTGCCTCAGTTATTCCCTGGGCTTATAACAAAGAAAACAAATATCAACATAAGAGTTACTTGAGTATCTGCAGTATTGCCTCCTGCCTTGCCCACCCAACTTCCTTCTAATCCTTGTTTCTTCCACACTGCTCCTTCATTCAGCTCTTCCCCCAGAGATGCACTAAAGTAAACCCATCATTCACTGTCAGGACAGCTTCCTCAAGGATCTGGGGTGTTGTGGATAATGCAGGGCAGGTTTCTGTTTCCCTAGTGGAAGTGAGCTCCTTACAAGTCATGCTTATGGTTCTAAGAAGAAAGTAAAACCTGGTTCAGCTCAGCCTCTAGCTAAAGACTTCTGCATTAGAAAGCATAATTCACATTTATTGTAAATGTCATCATGCCTTTGAGCTCTAAAGTTTATTCACAGTTTCAACCTTGGACTTTCCTTGATGGATGTGTTAGTTTTCCTTTTTTTTTTTTTCCCCAGGAGTCCTACATATCAAAGTTGGGGAAAATGTATCAGAGCACTGAGGCATAGTTTCCTTTCTTGAAGATTCTTTGATGCTTCACTAAAGATGGCTTTGCATTCACGTTTTTCTTTATCATGAATGTAAGGAAGGAAAAATCCTAGTGCATCCTCAAAGCATATAAATAGGGTTTGGAAACTTTCCCTCAAGCCATTAGCACAAGAGGGGAAGACTGTTAGCATCTAAGTTATTCACTTCACCACAGGGGCTAAGCGAAGAAACCTTGTTAAGCCATGAATTTCAGTCTGCAGTGATCTGCCTTGAAAAATCGGATGAGCAGATTCTCGTGGGCAGATTCCAAGAGATGTTTAGGATCCGCAGCTGCTCCACCCCCAGCCCCCAACTCCTCCCAGAGTGGATGGTACAACTCCTATTTGCCCAGATGGGTTTTAAGTAATGTATACACTCAAGCACCTGGTTTTATTTGGGTGTTTGCCACGTAGGGACTATCAAGTAGAAAGTGTCAAATATAGTAACACAGAGGGCGCGAGGAGTTAAGAGCCCGTGCAAAATCTGGAGAAGCGAAAACCTAAAAGGCAAGGGGAAGGCTGTCTAGTTCAAGTGCGCTTTACTCTCTGGGGCCCTTTCGGCTGGCATAAAATGGCATCTGCTTCTGGGTAAACACAGGTCGAGCCTAGCCCAAGGGAATTTCCCCTGACCAATTTAGGAATCTTCGGGATAAGGTCCCCTAGAAGTACTCCAGGCACCCAGAGCAGGAGGGCTATGCTGAGCATAAAATGTCGCCCCCAACCCCCTCTATTGCTCTGAGCTCTTCTCTGGACTCCCACTCACTTGGGATTATAAAACTGGGCTTATCTAGATCGCAGCTGGAGAAATGCGAAGTGTGACAGGACAAGGGACACAGAGGGCAGCTGCGAAGGGCGGGGAAAGGTCCCTAGGTAGCACTACCGAGCCAAGGGCTGACAAGGAAGCTGTGGGGGGCCCTGGGAGAAAGCCAAAGAGCGAGCGACAGCAGGAAGGGGGCTCCCCTCGAGCACTCACCTGCTGCTCCCGCACGAAAGCTGCGAACTGTGTTGCCTTCGCGCAAGGGCTGAGGGCGCCGGGGCTGCGAGCTTCGTTGTCGGGAGCTTGGCTTCCGTGTCGCCTCCACTCTGCCACTGTCGCTGTACCTGTCATAGAGCCTCAGCATATGCTCCGACACCTTGTCAAGAGGCTGCAGCTCTGGGCCCGGGCCACCACCTGCCGTGCGGTCTCCTGGCATAGCTTGGTGGAGCTCGGGCAAATGTTGCTTCGGTCTCTCTCCCTGCACTAGGCTCACACTGAAGAAGCCCAGCCACAGATAGAGCAGGATGCGCGCCCCAGCCATGGCGAGGTCCGGGTGCCGCGCGTCCGCTTGGTGCATCGCAAGGGAACACTCCCAAGGCGCGAGGGGCCGGCGACAAGGCTGAGGGTTGAACTTCTAAGCCGCTGCGGTAAGGGCACTGGGAGCCCAGGGCACAGCTGGAACCGAACAGCAGCAAGCCCCACTTTCTGCGCTGATTGAGCGCGAACCCGCAGGTGGGCTCTTCTTGGGCAGCGACGCGGATCTCACCCGCGCAGGGCGCTGCAGGCGTTGTCTCCAATCCAACGCTGAGGAAGAGCTGTAGGTCGCCGCGTGTGTGGCCCGGGTGTTTTCAGGAGCTGCCTCTACCCTCCCTCCCCACTTTATTTTCGGGAACACCCGGCCAAAGCGGCTGCGCTGGGGACGCGGGTTAGAGCTGCCTTCAGCGCGTGCCGGAGCTGGGGTGGGAGCAGTGTTCTGGAGGGCGCTCACTAGCTCGCCTTTTCCAGGGACTGGAGGAGCCGCGGAACCGCCAGTCCGAGTTTTGAGTGTAAGTGCGTGGTGTGTGTGTGTGTGTGTGTGTGTGTGTGTGTGTGTGTGTGTGAGAGAGAGAGAGAGAGAGAGAGAGAGAGAGAGAGACTGAGACTCTGACTCTCTAACTTCGTTCCTTCTTCCTCTGACTGATCTGTTCAGTTCGCTGCCAATTTCGCCCTCTCCTTAGCCCTAGTAGGCACTCGGACCTGGCAGTAGCCAGGAGAGAAGTGAGGAGGGAAGTAACCAGTGAACCAGCAGGGGGAGGGAGAGAAGAGGAAGTAGGGTGGGGGTGCCTAGGGAGAGGAGGGAGAAGGTAGAGGAAGCAAAAGTAGGAGGGACTTTTTTTTTTTTTTTTAATCTCTTGGAGAACAGTGGCCACATTCCCGCTAGCAAGAAGGCAGAGGAAAATAAAAGAGTTTCTTCCTGGGTTTTTAATCTTCTGACTCCGAACAGAATCGCGATGTGAATTCCGTTCTCATTTCCTTTCCTGGGCTTCTTGTGTCTGAAGCTATGGACCCTGCACCTGTGCCTCTTGGCCATAGCTACCTGTCATCCTGAGAGCTTCTCATAGCTCCCCTCTCCCGCTGAAAAAAAAAAATCAGTGAGAGCCTATTCCATGCTACAAACATGCTAATTCACCCACCCTCACCCCCCTATACTCCCTGGAGAGGTTTCCCTGCAGAATTGGGCAGTGGTGGTGACACTCAGGGCTTCTGGAAGATCCCAGAGTGCAAGCAGGCTCCTGGAGTTGCTAGCTTCCATATACTTGCTAATTCTCTATTTTTCTGGGGCTGTAAATGGAGATTAAACTACTACCCAATGTTTTACCCCACATGAATCATATCCTAGGTGCTTTTTTTAAAAAAATGTTCCACGTGTACTATTTTCAAAGAATTTTCATGACAAAGCCCGTTTTACAGACTAAAAAACTAAGGCAAAATGATACACAATCAGTGTAGCATAGATGAGCTCTAAAATCAGGGAGTCTGACTTCTGGGCTCAGGCCCTTAATCACCACAGTATCAATAATAAAACTAGCATTTAAATTAAAGTTTAAAAGTACAACTGGTGGATCTTATGTTCTTGTCCTTGTTCCTGGCTAATGAAGTAAACTCTCCATGTCTCTTGCAGCTCCCTGCTCCCTCTGTGGGGCCTTGAATTTTATTGAAAATAAGATAGGCCCAAGGGTTACCTTGAGCTTCCAGAATCTCTGTTTCTTCTTTAATGGTGAATAACAGCGCATTCCTTTCAGAGTTTTGTTTGGATGACATTAGAAAGCAGTGTTAAAGTGACTGGCACACTGACTAGCCTTTACTAGGGGCTCAATCCCTTTTTATCCCAAATTTATCCCAAATGCAGACTATATTCTCCCCACTCAGTCACTTCTCATCCCCCTGTGGTTTGGATTTTGCCCTTAGCCACCCCAGGAACTGTTCTGCAGATAATAACACATGCTTCAAGTGTGTTTGAGAGGATTCAATGGGATCATGTGGGTGATCTTTGCCTGGCATAGAGAACATAATAGCTTTTGTGATTAATAATGAAGACCTAATTGCGAAATTCAATAGGCCCTGGAAACTCACTCCCTCTTTGATTTTTCCCTGTGAATCTTTAGTTGTGTTCCCTCCCCTTTCTGCTCTCTCAATTCTGTGAGCTGCCTTCCCTAATGTTTCTCACATCTTTATACTCTGCCCTGGGAGAATGACAAATCGAGAAGATTCTTCTCCGCTCCTGCTGTTGAGGTGGTCACCTCTGACCTTTCAATATATAATTCTGGGTCTCCTACAGCCCTAACCATCATTGTCAAAAGTTCATCCTATTCCCCTTTGAAAGTGTCCCTGAGACTTGCCTCCCTTAAACTCCTGTGTATACTTCTTTTGAGACATTTGTCACTCTGTTCTCAACATAATTCATTGTTTGTAGGAAGCTGTGTTGTGGGGCTGCAGACAACTGTGCATCCTCAGTGCCCACCTTCATCTCTTCCTAGTTCTGTATAGTCCTTTCTCAGTACCTTTACTTTCTCATTAGCATAGTGCCTCCAGCATTGCAAAAGCTTAAAGAGAGATAGTGGAGACCTGAGAGAATTATGTGTCAGTTTTTTTTTTTTTTTTCTAAAGAAGACATCAATTTTAGTGACCAGTCATTACATTCAGAATAAGCAAAGTAATGAGGTGATGTTAAGCATGTAGAATAATCTCTAGCAGGACTCTCAGCTGTAACTGCAAGATGGTATAAAGAGTCTGGATGTGGAAACCAGTTAACTGAAGATTGCATTTAGGAGCCAAATCCTAAACCTACAATGGCACATTTGCAACTAATACACCCAGGAGGATGGAGCAATGGTTGAAATGGATGAAGCCAGCAGCAGCATGACCAGCAATGCAAATAAACCTACTCATTCACAGCTGTCTGAGTGACCTTTTGGGGAATTGAATTGAAAGCAAATTGAACTGGGGAAAAAAAATACCCAAAATCAAAAATCCAGTCTCTAGTCTGTCAGAACACCTGGAGATGCCAGTTGAGATACTTTAAGAGAGAAGCACACAGAGTCTTAGATCTGGATGGATTAAATGGTTTCCGAATGCTGGAATATTTAGAAGCCTCCTCCCTAAAGCAATTAATGAATGAGTAAATAAATCATAGGATTCAAAATTCTGGCTGAACATCAGATTTCTTTGATGCTCAGGACCCCTGAAAAGTGCAGCTTTTCAGAAAGAGTAACTTCAGAGATGAAGGTATTAGTAGTACAAGTGTCTTGTATCTAAATTCTCCAAAACATCTGATTAATGAATTAAAGTTGCTTTCATGTTTTAATAATAGAACTTTCCTATTTTATATTAGTGCTACTGTTACAGACAGCTATTAAACCATAGGACATACCTCACTCTCTTTTCCTAAACACAAGAAAAGTTAGACAGACATGAGTTGAAAACAGCAGCAAACACAAATTTAGGATATTACTGGATTCTGTTAAGTTTAGCTCTACTTTTGTCAGCAAAATCCTCTGCGTGTACGTTTCTGTGAATACTCTGTATCTTTATTTCCATGATTTACATTCATTGTCTAAAATCTTCTCACAAATGAGACCAAATTCTACTTATGTACAGGTGCTAATATATCACAATAAAACCTACTGTTATATATAATTATAACTTGCCAATAAAAATAAATTAAAAAAAACTTATAGAAATGCCAAGAACACCTTTCCTTTAATTACTATTGAATATTCATGTAAGCCTGAATTAGTAGTTGTGGGGGCTCTGGTTCCTTCTTATCTATTTCACTACTGCCTTGTTTGTTTCATTCATTCAATAAATATTTAGTAACTATTGTGATCTTGACATTTAATTTAGTATTGAGAATGTAGAGGTGGAATCATTTGGTCCCTTCCTCTGAACTTAAGCCTACTGGGGATATAGGAACATCTTCTTAATTAACTTAAGAAATCTTAATATAATTTTATCTGGCTGAGCAATTTTGTCTGCTAATCAGAGGAGGGAAGCTGTATGGAAGAGATAATACTTAAACTGAGGGGTACTAGTTTAAGCAGGTGATTTCCCGAGACTGTTCCAGATCAGATATTCCACACAGAGGAAGGGTATTATCCACAGAAGTGGGAGTAGTCTTTCTTTGGGGACCCTCTTCCAATTTCTACCAATCTTTCTTTTCACATGTTTTCTCAATTAATTCACTTGAGCCATGTACTTTGATTTGGTTATCAGGAATGTGACAATTGTTCTTTCTTTCTTTCTTTTTTTTTTTTTTTTTGGTACTGGGGACTGAGCCTAGGGGCACTTAACCACTGAGCCACATTCCTAGCCCTTTTTTGTACTGTTTTTAGAGACAGGGTCTCACTGAATTGCTAAGTGCCTCACTAAGTTGCTGAGGCTGGCTTTGAACTCATGATCCTCCTGCCTCAGCCTCCTGAGTCACTGGGATTGCAGGCATTTGCCACCATGCCCGGTGACAAATGACATTTCTAACCTTAACTTCTTTACAGAATTGCAGCTCCTTCATTTTGATGAGTTTATGGATTTGCTGTTGATATCATAAATTCAGAGCATTTGAAATAAAACTGATTATCCCTGCTTCCCAGTCTTATTCTGGGTTTCCAAGCTTTTATAAATGACACCATTATCCTTTCAGCCCTCCAGGTTCCTGTCTTAGACTCATATTCACCCTCTTTCCTCTGGCCTCCTTCTGGAATCCATTGCTGTCACATAAAGGATGTTTCTTTGGTATTTTTCCCATCTGACCTCTTTATTTTTATGGTAACTTTTTTATTGAGGTACTAATTTGTTTTAATCTAGGTTAGTTTCATAATCTAAGTGGCTTCTAGTTCCTCCCCCACCAACTGTATTTGATTTCTGTTGCCACATAACAAATCACCACAATCTTAGAGGCCTACAACAACACCCGTGTGTTTTTCCACAGTCTTGCAGGTTAACCATCCAGGTGGGCTCAACTGAGTTCTTGGCTCATAGCCAAGTAGTTGGCAAAGCAGTGGTCTT